CGTTCACACGTGCACACGTGCTGGAGCTGCAGACGTGCTGGTGGGTGGTGGGTGCTGCTGGCAGTGCCTACCCCGTGCTGGTGCTGCTGGTGGTGGTCGTGCTGGCCGTGGTCGTAGTGCCGGTGGCACCGGGCGGAGGCGTCGAGTGGCGGCCCTGAGCCCATGGAGTTGTAGTAGCGCCACGGCTGCCGCTTCATTGTGGAGACCCCCAACCTCGCACCCACCAAGTTGGCCTTTCCTCTTCTCTCTTCTCTTCTCCCTCGTTGTTGATAATGGGAGCTTTTGTGGGTTAGGGAGCTGCGCGCAGCAGGTGAGCGGTGGACGATGGGTTGGCGTTGGAAGTGAGGCAGGGTTTGGGGGGGGGGGCTGGTTGCTCGCAGCTGTCTATCGCAAGGGAGGGGCTTGTGGCGCAAAGGGGAGGAGGGACTGAGAGACATCAAGTGGCGTGCAACCCCCCTCCGGGGAGGGGTGTGGCGTATTCACACGGAAGTTCACAAGTAGTGCATTAAAAAAAAAATAAAAAATAGGGTGGCAGACCCAGAGTCTGAAAGGTTGAAGTGGAACTCCTTGATCTTGAGCTTGACTGCCTCGACAATCAGCTTGGCCACAACACCTCAACTGGCCTCTCCTTGCTGGTGTGTGTGTTGTGTGTGCATAAAGGTGGAAGGCGGGGCGGGGTCCTGTGCGTGGATTACAGTGGGGAGGATGTCAATCCGCCCAAGCAGGAACATAACAGGTGTGGTGTGCAGCGCCAAACATAAGCAGATCAATTTATCAGAGCCTTGCCATGTGATGTATCAGTCATACTTCTGAAAAAGACCTGACAGGTTGAGAGTGCCCATCATCCCAATCAACTCAAAGTGAACTACAGCAAGCCACTGAGACATGTGTTGCCAGCAGTGGGGTTTGGAAGCTCATCTTAGCCTTCTTGTTTGATGCCTTTGTGTTTGGTGCTGGCCTCTGGTTCTTGCCCTTCTTCTCTTCCCCACTGCTGGCACTGTCACTGCCACCTTCACTCTCTGTGTCCTTGCTGGTTAACAATGTGCATGTGCCTGATACACATCATGTTTTGTGTTGTGTAGTGTACCATTGCTGTCACCATGCCCTGCCACATCCCTGGCCAGCCAGAAATTTGCTGAGGTGGCCATCCATGCTGTGTGGCTGCTGGGGCAGATTGCCTTCAACAGCTCTTGAGAGGGAAGGTGGACAGACTCTCTTGTTCCTGGTTGCTGCATGAGCATGTGTTAGAAAACAAACTGAATGAGGGTGTAGTGTTGGGTGTCCCACTCAGCACATTGACCTAGGCCCTCACAAGTCACTGGTGGACCAAGCTTGACAAAGCACTCCTCCTCAAGCTCCAGGTGGCTCAAACAGAGGCCTAACCATTGTCACTTTCACCACAGCCTTGGTGGCCCCTTGTCAATGATCCACCACTTGGCGCTGTGGTTGTAGCTGCAGGTGCCCAGGCATGCAGAGCATCCACAAGATGCACTTCACCACAGTCCACCCACACCACAAACAGGATGTAGTAGCAGGCTTGGGTGAACTTGAAGCAAAGGTAGGAACAGAGTGCTCATCCAAATGTGACAGTGGTACTTTTTCATTTTTCATGACATTTGTATGTCTGTGTGGATATGTGTATTGTGATGAACAGTGTCAGGAAGAGAAATCATGAAATCTGTACAGGATGGGGAAAAGGCAAGGAAACAGGGTGCTTTAACTTTGGATTTTTTTGGGGGTGAAGGGGAAAAAACAGAGTGCTCAACAGTGGTACTTTTTAACGAAATGGACAAAGTGGTGTACATAAAACAGAAAATGATGTCATGGAAGTGCACACAGAAGAAAGGAGGAATTTTTATTTTACAGGTGTCTGAAGATCTCTTGGAGTGTCACCAGTGGGACTCCAGTGTTTGGATGGAAGGTGAAGCCACATGCCATTGGGACAGTTCCCTCAGTGCCATGGTCAGCCCAGCAACCATTGCTGAAGTTCCACCAGTGGACACTCAGCCTTCTTTCAAAGGACACTGATGATCTCACCAATCCAAAAGTCCTGGGTATCCTCATCTTAATCAGCACACACAGCAACCCACAGACCAGGAGCAAAGTTGAAGCACTGAACATCAGGAGAGGTTTGAACAACTTTGGCCCTGGTCTGTCAGTGGAAGAGGACCATCAAGGAGAGGATTAGTGATGGGGTGAGCTGTAAGGGCATCAAAAATCATCAGGTCGCAGTTGGGCTGGGAAGATGCAGTCAAGGCAGCATGAGCTTCAAAGAGGTCTGCAGACAATCCAACATGCATTGGATTAGAATGACTGATTTCACCAGTGTGCTGCATGGACTGCCCTGCCACCACAAATGTGTGATTAATGATTTGGTTCAGCAAGAGTAAAGTCACATGACAAGCAGGTAGTGTGTGGCCTATACCAGGTACCGCCAAGCAATGTAGAGCAGCAAGTTCAGCCTTGCAGTGCTCTTCTTGGCCTGTGGCCAAACCTCCCAGTCCTGTTTGCTGTCAATCTCAAAGTTATGCTGTGCCAGCCAAGTATGAGCAGTTGTGTTGTTAGTGAAGGAGTGTGCTGACATACATACATCAGAGGCAGAAGATGCATGCACTGGGTAGCAACAAGACAGGCGTGTGAGCAACTGAATGCTCAGCATTGAGAGTTTCTGCCCCAACTTGTTGGTTGGCACTTGAGACACAAGCTTACCTCCAGGCAGCTCCTGTGCTAGGTCCACCAATGCAATGATGAGGCGTGCAAGGGACATGACACTGTGGAATGGCTTGACTTGTTCATCTTTCACCAGGCTTACAGTGTGAAAGTGGTACTGAAACACCTCTGTTGTTGTTGGTACACAAAAAGTGAGGACACAAGTGAGCAAGTTGAATCATTTGAACAAGGTAATATGATTGTGGCACATTTTTATATAACCCCACATCATCAGCATCGCCCCCCCCCAATCATGTACTGTTGAAGTAGGGTTTGCTGCTGCTCTTCGCCATCTTCTTGTTGAGACAAAATGATTGAAATGGGTACAACTACATGTTGTCTTGGTCACTCCTGCTTTGTCTTGGTCTGTGTGGCTGTGCCTGTGGCATAAAAGATGGAGAAACCACAACAAAAGCATGTGACACTGTAAAAATTAATGTAAAACGCCTGGTTTCATTGGAGTGAAATTAAAGTCCACTACCACTGTGAACAGGTGGTGGCTACACAGCTGCCTTTGAAATGGGTCACAGATTAGCTGTTGATGGGTGGAGTGTGACTTCCATCATCACTGACTGTGATGGCAAGATCCACTGTGCCTTTTGGAGTGCAGGTACTCTCACACCAGATCCCAACTTGGCAAGGCAAATCTGCTTGGTAACATGCTGTACTCATCAAAGCTACTCCTCCTTCCTCTCCTCTGACCACCAATCCTGGGATGCAACACAGGACAATGCAAGGAAGTGGTGATGAGATCCTGTGGTCAAGAGAAGGTGGATCACCAAGAAGTGGGGCAACATGAAGGCCAACTCATCTGCAGCCAAGTCAATGACCTACTGCCCTGAATTGCAGAAGCATCTGAAGAAGAGGCGCATGCAGAGAAGGCAGCACCTCTACTCTATGACCATGTTCTTATGCCTTGCTGCTGTCCCACTCATGAGCAGGATGACCCATTTGCTTTTGTTTCTGATGAAAGTGACTCTGATGTCCAGTGAATAAACCTTTGTATTTCCACAACCCACCTTTCAAACTGCTTGACTCTCTGAGGCATCTTCCACAAACATGATGCCATTATTGTCATTGCAGGTACCTGAAGCACCACAAAGGCAGCAAAGGCACACCTGTCCTGCCCAGCTACCCAAAGACACTGAAACTCACCTTAACAACTGGTTGCTTGTGTTGCAAATGCAGGACCCCAGATGTAGAGTGCTACAACCTCACTCCTACATGGCAGACAAGACCATGCAGATGTAAGAAGCCCAAGAAGAATCCCTCCAAGTAAGTCCATAATGTTCTGTCATGTCAACATTGAAAGTGGAGCATCAGTGGGCAACAGTACAGGTTTCAATGGGGATGTTACACTGATGACCTGCCCAAGGTGATTGACTCCCTCTACTGACATATGTTCACCAAGTACCTTGGCCTTCCAGCATCAACATTACCTGGTGTCCTCCTCAATGCAGTCAAGTGATATGTATTAGGAAATGGTATCTTATGCAGAAAAGGCACTGAAGAACAAGGAGAGGCGCAGGTGTGAGCATGCAAGGCGCAGGGGAATGGAAAGGTATGTCTTCTATCCATCCTTGAAGCAAACATGGGCTAACTGCCACTTTATTCAGTGCTGAGGAGGTGCAGCCTGAATCACCACCCATCATTGACCTTACACTGCCCCAATGCTGAAGAGACTGTGCCTCCTGATGTCCAGGTGGTGTTCAATGCTCAGGAACAACCTGAACCTACTCAGCTCAAGCTTCTGGCGAAGGCAACATTCAAGTTGGCCCATTCCCCCACACTCACAAACTTCACTAATTGCCTGGAGGGGAAGGTGATGGCCTACACCCTCAAGTGGGAGTGGCACTACATGCTGCAGAGCCTTGTTGTGCAAATGACTGATGGCAAGGTGCTGTGGGCATGGTGCAGCCTACTGATGTGTGAGGAGGCCATCTACTTCTTCCAAGAAGCTCACCCCTCTTTCTCATTGTTGTGCACAGTTCTGGGGCAAAGTGGAGTTGCTCTGTGATGAAGGCTACTTCAAGTTGAGGAACGCACTCTTCTTTGGGACAGTGTTACCCCTGGGCTACACCACTGGTCTCCTTTCAACCCTTATTTAATAAATAACTGTTCACCTGGGGGGGAACACACACCACCCATGGAGCAACCAGATAGGAAGAACTGGTGCTCAGTGTGCAACTCCAGTCATGGTGGCAATGTCTGGAGGCATGCAAGGACAAAATGACACAAACAATGCTTAGCTGCCAGCCAGGTACGGCCAACATACAAAGGTATTACCTTTCTCATTTCTGTTCTTTCTGCAGCATCAACAAGGGCAGTAAAGGACAAGGACAGAGACAACAAGGCTGGCAAGAGCAAGGATGGAGACAACAAGGCTGGCTAGAGTGAGGACAAATGTGGTGACAACATTAATGTGGTACCAGGCGACCTGGTTGCCAATGATTTGAGAGAGAGAGAGAGAGAGAACATGGAGCTCACCACCAATGAAGAAGACTTGATGGTTGACAATGATGAAGATGTAGCAGGTGAGGCAGAGCTTGAGGAGAACCTCATACCCATCAATTGTTGTCTCAACCTAATGTGTGTGTGTCTAAGGGTTGAGCAAGGTTTCTCTCATCTCTTTATTGCTCACATGTACATTTATGCATGCAGGGCAGGTTGGTGGTAGCTGGTCTCATGGGTGGTGAGATGGAGAGCTTTGTGCAGATTGCAGAGGTTGTACTGCTAATGGGCTTGAAGGGCTTGTCACCAACAGTGAGCTCAAGTCATGGTGTCTTCATGATGACATTGTTGACCCACTGTGATTAGATGCGCCTACAGAGGCCAACCTGGCTGAGCTACACACCCTCACCACCAAGTGGAAGAGTTTGATGTTCTCATTGTAAGGTTGTAGGCTGAGTTTCAGGAGAACAAGCAGCAAGAGGAAGTGGAAGAAGAACAGCTGAGTGTGACCTTTGAAGGCTGCCAGTCAGGCCACAGATGGCAAGGGATCACAGGAGGAGATCATACTTGACAAGGACAATCCCCTAAGCTTCTGCTTTCCCAACTTCAAGACCTGCAAGCACTGGGGTGAGCTTGTCTGTTTTCTAGGACTGGTATGGTTCCAGGACACTGCACTGTTCAAGCAGAGACTCCTCTCAGCTAAGATGATGTGCCAATGAACAAACCAGCAAGCAAACAAGAGAGATGTACTCATCAAGGTACACCACTTCCCCTTTGCATCAACTTTTTCTCATCTCTTCCTTCAGACACACAAACAAGACATGGTTCTCCAGTTTGCATGTCCCTGGGCATGATGACAACAAAAAGCACAAGACAGCAACATACTCTCAGGCAAGGGGACGTTGGTGAACAACATCACTGGCCACTGCAAGAGGAACCTTGACCTGGCGATGAAGTGCAAATGGAAGGTGGGTTTGAGGAAGGAAAAGCTTCTACTTTGGACACTGGCTGCACTTGGGGCACAGTGTTGTGTGGTGTGTTCTGGAGGAGCAGCATGAGGTATGTTTTGTTGAGTCTTTGATTGTTCAATAGTTTGTGGGTGGCAACAAGGCCATGACTGAGATTGTGGTAGGTAAGATCCTACGCTTTCTAACTGTTGAGGGGAGTGATGGCTCCAGGATGAGCTGGGCAGAGCTTTTGCTTGGGGAGCTGTTGCCAGATCTGCCCAATCTGCCATGGTTCTACATGCAGGGCCATCCACACTCCCCTTTGATGGTGTCAAGTGGACAATTGTATGTTGAATCCATCTCTGCCCTGATCCACAAGACAACAGACATGAAATCTTCAACCTCCAAGCAATGAGGCTGATTGTAGACAATGAAGTCATGGTCTGCAGTGAAGATGAAGGTGCTGCACATCTCTTCCCTTGTCTATGGTGGCAGCAGGCAGGTGGGCAGTGGGCAGGCAAACAAACCAAGCGCAACATGGTACTCGCGCTGTGCGTGGATGATCATTTGAAAGCAACCTCTCATATGACCACCAACACAGAGCAAGAGGATCGACGACCTGAACGAGAACAGCAGTGAGCGATGAGCAAGGAGTGCTAGGACTGTATTGATGGGTTTTTTCAATAGCCCCATTTCTCAGACATGTTTATGCTGGTTCTTTTCATGTGCATCTTTCGTGACAATTTGGTGAGTCCACCCACGTGAACAAGTGCTGAACAAGGCTCACCAACCGAAGTGGGTAGCGACCGGGGCTGCCCACCACTTTAGGCAAACGGATAAGTATACCCAAAAGCTCAGGAGGGTCCAAAGTGAGCGAAATCCAGTAAACACCCACTCTTATTTTCTACCAGTGATGTGAGGCACGCCTAGAATGGGATGAAGGACAGAAGAAGAAGACCTCGAGCAGTAAGGAAGACGGTTGGGAAGAAGGGATCGTGGAAAACAACAAAAGAAGCCCAACACCACTCTTCTAACACCAAGGGTTGGTGCGGGCAAGGAGAAGTGCACTCCTCCTGCTTCAATATTCAGCAGGCCCCGCACAGAAGCTGCCCAGGATCTTTCTGCTGACCACACGTCCGCCTCACTGGAGCGCCGGTGGCACACTAACACAACACGCGCCGCCGCAGGACGTCTGAGATGTGCCAGCGATGCCACGGACGCCGGCGGGCTGATCAAAGCCCTGCGTGCGGCAGATAGCCAAACACATGGCGCCCGCCCATAGATATCGCCTTCATCACCCCACGCCAGTACCAGTACGCCGTCCTCCCCCGCCGGCCCCGCGCTCCGTCCACCCGACGTACGTACTTGGCGGCCGTTCATCAATGATGTGGTGCGTGGAGCTAATGGTGTGTGTGTGACAGGCGATGGTAAGGTGGCAGGTCGAGCGGCTGATCGGCTTCCTCGAAATGAGTGAAGAGAAGAAGACTGGTCCCTTAAGAGAGCAACATTCCTTGTTGGCCAACAACTGCAGGCGAAGAAAACCACCCATCGCGAATCACCACGATCACGCCACCGTACTACTTCTTCTCCGGACAAAGGCAAGACTTCCCCTCGACTCTAACGCTGGGCTTCCGGAGCCGGTCACCGAGGGGAGTGCGCATGCGTGGTGCCGGTACGTATCTGAATGGCCCCCGCGCGTTTCTCTTGGGGGGCGGAGGCGTAAGGCGCAGGGCGGGGCTAGTGGAGCTTCCCCGCGTTCGTTCTTTCATCGTGCATGCAGCCCAGTGACGAGGGAGGCGGCGCTGGTGAGCTTGGCCCACCTCACGGCGGCGACGTTGCGGGCCGAGGGCCTCCTGCCTGCCCGTAATAGGCAGCATGTAAACAGTGCGCTTTG